GAAGTCAGAACAAGACATGACTCTTGTTATAGCTCTGTGATCGGTGCTTTGTCACTAGGCAGTTGCTTTTTGTATACCCCAACAAGCTCGTGGAGACCGCACTGCAGGCCAAAAACTAGCCAGAAGACGCACTACTTGCTGCATCAGCTTTGACATGAAGTAACTAGTCAGCAGTCTTTTTTTTTTTTTTTTTAATTATGGAAGGAATATTTGGTTTAATTTCTCTGGCTACAGAGAAATGGATGATCCGGGCTTGTTGCCTTCAGTTGGGATGTTTCACGCTCCTAACACCCTAGGGTGGTTGGTGTCATCTCCTTGTGGTCATCTCAGCCAAGGACAGGTGGTATGAATTGCTTATTGAAGGTGTTTGCACCATCATTCATTTGTAAAAGAAAATAAATTGAGCTTAGAATAGAATCCAACAGTTTCTTGATGAGAGGTTAGAGGAGCTGAAGTCCATCATCAGACCATCCTGCTACAATCCCCCAAAGGAGTGTTGGTGTTCCTTGCTTGTCACTGCCATCTGTCTTCACTGTGTGAATCTGTGTAATGAAAGCCTGGATTTTCGTTACGTTTTTTTTGGTGAGTATCTGGGGACATCCGAAATAGGAGGTGTATTTTTCAGTCTTCTACACTAACACTCTATAGTGCTATATCTCACTAATGTCTTTTGTTTATGCTGTTTGGGTGAGGCAGTCTGAGATTCTGCTCTGCTGTGGGTAGTTCAGCAGCATATTCAATTTAGTGTAGGGTTTTTGAATATGGCAGTAAGTGCATTTTTCCCGGCTAGTCAAAACTTGAGGTGTGACAACAGCTGCTAGTAGTGTGGAAAAATAGGAATTGAAGTGTCGTTTGTTTTCAGGGCTGAAAAGATGCTTGGATGCTCCTTGTGAAAACAGGGACGAGTGGCTACTCTTTCTCCTCGCCAAATCCTAGAATTCTGGTTCACAGCAGCTTTATCATGAAAGAGTGGCTTGCATGTCATTCCACTTGGTCAGACCTCTGGTAGCCTAGACCCCTGGTAGTCCCTCTGATTTCTCCAATGGTCAGTATATGTGCCGTTTCATAAAGTGGTTTAGGTACACTTGTCTTGCCAACAGCGTCAATAAAGTTCCAGATAGTTTTAACTGTATTATAGCCAGGAAAAGCTGATGATGTTCGTTATGCTGAAGCAGTGTGTGTCCTCTAAAGGATGAGCTCTCCCTTCCCAGTTTCTGTTTGGATCTTTTCTCTTGCTGATGCTTTGAGGAACCTAAGCAGTGAATATAACTTTGTAAAAATAACTTTATTGAGGCTTTTTTTCCCCTCTTTAAACTTTTTCTACTTTTTTGATTGCTTTGGAAGTCTTTTGGGGGGTGAGTCTAATGCAGGGAAAGAAACACTATGAAATTTGCACACTGCTTTATTAGCTAAGCAGGTAACCAGGGAAAAGCAGTTGACTGTAGTGATGGAGTGGATTTAATATTAACCTGTCAGTTACTGCATGCCAGTTCTCTTTATTGAAAGTCACAATTCCATCGTCTTACAAGAGTGGGGGGGGGGGCAAGCACTCTCTTGCTACCACTATTAGTGTAGTTAGTGTAGCAACAAATTTTTCCATCCCCTGTGTATTGCTCCAGGCTTTTTCCACAATTTTCATATAATTTATGTGTCGAGATTATTTTTCTGGCTCACAATCCTTATTTTTGATAATCAGCGTATTGTGGGAAATTGAGTGCTGGAAACTTGCATACCACTGTCCTTTCCAGCAAATGACTTGTTTGTGTCCAGGACAAGCTGATCAGCCTGCTTCTTGTCTCATGTTAGTGCTCTACTAGTGCTGGATGTACCATTTTCAGTTGATTAGCTACTTAACAGGTTTCACTACTTGCTGCTCACTAATTCAGCTTTTGAGAGGAGAGTAGTCACACCAGGAATTTAATATTTTTAAAGTATATTCTTTAGTATAGCAGTTGATCTATCCTGATTCACTGTAAATGTCTACCTCCCACTGAGACTGAAGCATACTGTTTATCAGAACTGTCTAGACCTTTTGATAATGGAGAATTCACTGCCTGTCTCTGCCTTGACTCTGGAAAATAAAATTACTTTTCGTTTTTCAATTGACTTGATAAGAGTGTTTCCCCATCTTCAGTTTCCATCAAACACACAAATCTGTTTCCGTGCTTAGGTTGCTATCACAGAAGATGACAAAAGCAAACTGGTCTTGGCTATCAATAAATGTTTTGGGTGTTCCCTTCCTCCTGAACCGATTGTGAAATTTTCAGAGGGAAGGTGCCTTCCTCTTTCATTCTAAACTCGGAATACAATTAGTATTCAATCAGCTTAATGAAAAATGTGAGATTTTTCGAAGTGGAAAAGCAGATACCTGGTTGGAGGACAGCTTGGTGAGCTGCTCTGCAGGATCCATCTTATCTCCTGGTGGATGTTGGAAAGACTAGGGGTTTTATTGCCTCTTGCACGGTTCTTGTGGCAACAGGACAGCCAGTCTTGGGTTCTACCAGAGCGGAGAGCTGTGAGGAGCTTGCTGTGTGTGGCTGGACTGTACCCTGAGCAAGGGTTCATGTCAGTCCGGTTTGGAATTTGTAACTTGTTCAGCATGTGCCTCTTAACACTCATGATGTTAGTCTATTAACACTGAGATCTCGAGAAGTAGCTTATCTTTGTATAGGGAAGTCCTCTCCTGAAAGGGGCAACATCAGTATTGTCCATGGGAAGAACTCTGTGCCTTCTCAGTGGTGTTTTGCAGAAGGGATTTAGCAAATCTCCCTTGGTGTTAATACCGGGAAGTGGACACCTGATGTCCAGTAACCTTTGATACTTTTTCTCTTCCTGTTCATCTGTCGCTGGAGAATGTTGTCTTGATCGAAATCTCTGTATGTGCAGCTGGAGGCATGGTAACAGCCATACCCCAAATGTTGGCAACATTCACTGCAGTAGACAAGTCCTGACTGCAGTAACTTTCCTCAAAATCCACGGATGCATGCTCAGATTGCAGATACCACCAAAGCATCAGCAGCTTTGTGGAATTTCAGCTTGTAAGCAGCCCCAGAATAATTCAGACAGGACTTAAATCTTCAAAGTTAGTTTTGTGTTGGACTAAAACGATGTTCTTTTGATCCTGAAGCAAACATGAGCAAATTACGGGACTACGCTACTGATGTAAGCAGTTTGATTCCCTGATCTCTACCAATAACTTACCAGTTTTACCCAATGCCAAAATAAATGAACTGCATTAAACTATTTTGAAGTAGCTCATAGAAGTTATGATTGTCCTGTATTTCTGGATGATTAAACAGGGCACTGCATGATTAGAAACATGAGTGAATTTCTCTGTAGTTTGTTGATGACATCATGGACTTCCACTAAGCAACTTAGAACCAAAACAAAATCTAAACAAACTAACAAGAAGAGTGATTGTTTGAATATTGCTGATGATTTTTTTTTTTCTGTTCAAAAGGTGAGAAAACTGCAAGTCTGAAGAGCATTTGCATAGTGGATGTTTTTAGGATAACCTATGGCAATTTTTTTTTTTTACATGGTGTCTTCAGGAAATTAAAAAATCTCATCTGACTGGTTAATACTTGAACATCTGCGTTTGAAATTAAGTCATATATTTACTGCTAGCAAAGTTTCCCTGTGGAAGGCTTGCTTCAGTAATCTGTTCAGGCAGCTTTTATGTTGCCTCTTCTACAGAGAGAGAATATTCAAGGATGCCTTTGTTTCGGCAGTGTTTTGTTTAGCTTTCATTCCTATTTCGTGCAAATCACACAAAGCTCTTTCAGAGA